TGTGTGTGTGTGTGTGTGTGTGTGTGTGTGTGTGTGTGTGTGTGTGTCAGGGTCTACCTATGTAGTCTGAATGACCCTCAGACTCCTGATTCCCCTGCCTCAGCCCCTCAAGTGCTGGGATCACAATTGTTCTCCCCTATGCCCGGCTAATTCTTCAGAAGTAAGAATTCCTAAATAAACACAGATTTCCTGCTTTCCCTGAGCTCCGTGCTCAAACCCAGTGGAGCCCAAGCCCCTTGCCTTAGATCTTTAAACCTAAGAACATTCTTCCCTCCCTAAGGAGTAGACAGAGGCAGAGGAACTCCGGGGGTCCTCTCTGTCCAGGGACCAGAAAGGAGCCTAGACCAGCAGGGAGCCTCTTGTCATCTGGAAGTTACTCAAGAGGTTAGAGAGGAAGGCTGGATTAGGGGGATCCCAACGACCCACCTCAGCTTCCAGCTCCCCCACCCTGCACTTTACCATTCTCTCCAGATGTATAAACATTGCTGCCCCAAAGGTCTTCCCAGAATTGTTCTGTTCTGTCCCCTCCCTCCTTTTGCACCAAGCTGCATCCCCATGCTCTTCTGCTTCCTTCCTCCCTCCCTCAGAACCCCAACTTCTCATCCAGCTCCAAGAATACATCCAACAAATAAGAATTACTTCTCCAGCAATGGGCAGGAAACCCCAAGGGACAGCTGGATGACAAGTCTAAGAAAGGCTAATGCAGGTGGGGTGCTCACCTCGGCACCCCCCAGGGCAGCTCCCTGGGCAGCATGCAATGCCAAAAGAGCGAGGAGAGCCACGGCGGGAAGAATTTGGATCTTCATGGTGTCAGGTTTGGGGTGCTCTGAGGCGGGGCCTCGCTGGTGGCCCTTTATATTAGCAAGGAGGTGGCTATAAGAAGGAATGGGGTTCCCACCCTACTGACTCACCCCTAGATCATGTCGCCCACCCCTGAGGCTCCAGGAGGGGGAGGCATAGACTGTTCCCAGTATATCTTTGATTTCTCAACTCTCATTCCTCCTCAGGCTCTTGCAAGATGAGGCTGCCATGGGTCTGTCCATGCATGAGGTGATGGGACAGAGACAGGTTAGGCCTGTCCCTGCAAGAGTTGACATACAAGCAAGGGCTCCTTCTGCATTTGCCTCTTTCTCTATTTCCCTCACTCTTGTGTTCCTCCACCCTGAGAAAATCCCTCTAAAGCCCTTGGACTGGTGTAAGGCCTTCCACACTGCAGGCTCCATCTGCCCTTTCGGCTTCCCTCTTCTGCCCTCTTCGCACATACCCCATACACTGGCTAAATCGGGTCCCTTATCAAGCACGCCCCTTCCTCCTCCAGGCATTGTCTGAGCCTCATCTTTCTCTCTCCCTCTCTCCGTTTCTTCCTTCTTTTCCTTGCAGTTTTTTTGAAGTGGGGTTTCATGTAGCCCAGGCTGGCTCACTATGTAGACAAGGATAACCTAAAGCTCCTGATCCTTCTCCTCAACCTCCCAAGTACTGTGATTGTTCACAGGCATCACCATGGCAACCTAAACTATTCCTTAGTCCTAAAATGCCTTTTGCTCATCTCCAGTTCTCAGAATTCAACATCCCCTGTGGGTGAAGTTTCCCTGGCTGCTCCCATTACCCCAGCCTATCCCTCCTCAGAATTATTTGTATCTCTCTGAATCATACACATGCCTTAGTTTAATTTCTCTTGTTTCTTTCTTGAAATACTAAGCCTCATACATGTGTGTGTTGTGTGTGCATGTGAGTAAGGGAAGCACACTTTGGAGATAGATAGATAGATAGATAGATAGATAGATAGATAGATAGATAGATAGATAGACACAGACATATAGATAGATATAGATAGAGATATATCTCCAAGGCTCTCTATCCAGGCTGGGCTCAGACTCATTACATAGCCTCCACCTCCAGAGAGCTGGGGTTACAGCCTCGCACTACCACATCTGGTTTATGTGATGCAGGGATTCAAATCCATGTTGCGTAAACTGCATGTTACGCAAGCACTCTACCAATTGAGCTATAGCCCCAGCCCAGGAACTGTGCATGAATCCCCTTTCTCTCCATTAGCACCATGCCTTACACACAATGCAATGGAGACTGAAGCATTAGAATTGCATCCACTGGTCCTTTGGTCCAGCTCTGCACTCTCCTCTCTTGGCCTTAGACCCTGCATTATTACCCAGGTGTTGCTCCTGGGAGTTTAGATAAACATGACCCAGGAAGACAAGAAAACCAAAAACACAGAGGAGCAGAAACAAGTGTCCCAGAGACCGAGCTAGAGGGGCATCTGCGCTGGCCTGACCTCTGAGCATCTGCTCCCTGAAAAGTTCCACTTCCCACCCCACCCTTAGCGGGAGTGGGATCACCTCAAAGTGGCAAAACAGCCCAATGATGCAACCTCTGCAATGAGGTCCAGATGGCCCAACCGGTGTCACAAGGAGGTGCCGGGACAGAGACTAGAGCTGTTCTGGCAGAGCAACCCCTTATCTGAGGGTTGGGTTCCTTACCGCAACACACGGTTGGCGGCTGGTGGGCCTTGGGTGGGAGGGCTCGAGTCATTCCTGAGGAATCTCTATGAACCCCTCTGTCCTCACCTCCCAGTGTCCTCTTCAGCCTCACAAAGCCTCTCCTGTAGGCACAGAGCGGCTCCCACTTTGCTAAGGCCACAGGAGGACACAGCCTGGGCAACACCCACTTTGCAGGATGACCGCGTGACTGTGGACGCTCCTGGAGGCCACCAGAAGGAGAATAAAGTGAGGTGGGTGGAGTTCCTCCCAAAGGGTTTTCTGGAGGACACGGTTTTTGTGAGAAGGTGGATTCATTCTGTTTAACTAATTAGCAGTGCCTGCCCAGCTCACGGGAGCCTTTGGGCCAGGGTAGTGTGAACAAAAGCCCTGGAAGAAGCGGGAGACTCAGAAGAGAACAGATGTTATGTAAATCAGCCCCATTTAGACATGCTAATGGCAGTGTCTAATTTCATCCCTGGCTCACAGGCCTGCACATGCACGGTACCCAGCCAGCACCAGCACCACATCGTCATGGCTCTGCTTGGCTCTGGACTCTGCCCTATGGTGGGCTGGTGTAGCATACTGACATCTCAATGATGTTTTCCTTTCCGTCTCATGGTACCAATAACATTACCAGTTCTGCCTCTGTGGCAGGCCTTGTACTAAATATTCTGAGTGCATGATCTCATCGAATTATCAGAAGTTCCAGGAGATAGGCACTATAATTACCCACATTCTGTGGGTGGGAGAGCCACGGCAAATATGGAGCTTAAATAACTCAACAGAGGTCGCATGGCTGGTGTGGGTGTGTAGCAGGGCCAGTGTGAGGGCCCTGGGATTCCAAGACCTGAGCTGGGTCTCCGATAGTCCCTTGCTCCCTGTGCAGTAGTGTCCCTCAAAATGCTTTAGCGTTTGGTATGAATTAGATCCCTGATCAGAGAGTGCAAGGCAGGCTCAGTATACCCCGCCCTCTGTCCCTGGCCCCATGAGCTTTGTGGCCTAAGCTCCAAGCATGTATGTGTTAATCTAAATTAATCCAGCCAGATGCTCTCAGCAAGCATGAAGAACGACCTAGCCAGGCACAGTGAAGGACTGTCATCCCAGGTACTCCAGAAGCTGAGGCAGGAGGATGAAAAGCTCATGGCATACCTGGGCCATAGAGTGAATTCAAGGCCAGGCTGAGCAACTGTTGTGTCAAAATAAAAAGTCAAAGAGGGCTACGGATGTGCCTTGGTGATGGAGCATGCACCTGTGTCTGGAGTCCACCAGTGAGGGAGTTTGAGTGTGGCTCAGGGACAGAGTGTATTCAAAGGCCCCGAGTCCAATCCACAGTGTTGGGCACCAGCACAAAGGGGGAGGGGCACTGCTGACATTTGGCAACTGTGTGTCCTACAGTAAACCTACAATTAATTAGCTCAGTTTCCAGAAGTCCCACACAGAAAAACCATCTTCCCACACCAAGTACGTCTTTGAAAGTAATGTTCTAGCTGGGTGTGGTGGCCATAGGGGCCTGGAAATCTGGAGTCCAGCCTGGGCTCCATGGCAAGATCCTATCTCAGCAAACAAACAAAGGAAAAATTTGATCAAAGATAGTCCTCCACCTTGGACCCCGTGTTCGTCACTGTAGTGTGTGAAGACATAACACCCCTAAACACAAACCCATCTGCTCGGGTATTCCACGGAAAGAATCCTGGCCCCTTGCAGAGGCTAAAAGCTGGCTTCATTGGTCTGATGACCTATTCTTACTTGTCACCTTCTAGATGATCCAAACATTGTGTTTGATTTACGGTACTGGGACTAAACTACTACTGATCTTTTTTTTTTTTTTTTTACACTTAGTATGTGGGAGGTGCGCATGTGTGTGGAGATCAGAAGACAACTCAGGAGTCAGTTCCGGCTTTCTACCGGCAGAGCCATCTTCTCAGCCCTCTTTTTATCTTTTGTGACAGGGTCAGGGTCCTAAACCAGGGGCTGGAGACACAGTGCGGCCAATGAAGTGCTTGTCATGCATGCACGAGGTCTGAGGTCGGACCCATAGAACTCATGAAAAAAGCTGTACAGTAAGCTGTATAGTAGTGTGGATTCCTGGGCTCACTAGCCAGGTAGCCCAGGAATCCACTAGTGAACCAGTGAGAGACCCTGTCTCAACAACTAAGCGGACGGCTCCTGACATGAGCATATGTGTTACATGAGCATGAATTCTCTCTCTCTCTCTCTCCCTCCCTCCCTCCCTTCCTCTCTCTCTCTCTCATACACAAGCATGGATGTGTACGAGCACGTTCACATACACACACACACACACACACACACACACACACACACACACACGCTTCCTTGAGCTTTCTGTCTTCCTTCCTCGGCCTCCCAAGCAGCTGGGAAGATAGGTTCAGCTCTCTGGTGAATTTTCAGAAGTGAAACGATTTCTATGCTAAGCACTGATGTGTCTTCCTCTCCACACGCCTCGCCTTCCTCCATCCAGACTGCCTTGGTGACTTTGTGCTCCCCAAGTATCCAATGTCCAATAGAGTGAGGGAAGGGATAGGCAGGTCTCAGGAAGGGAGGTCACAACAGTTCAGTCGTGGAGTAGGGGAGGACCAGGGAAAGTCTCCCAGGATCTCACTCTGCTTTGAATGAATACATAAAGTGAGGGGGTCCCACTGACTCTGTAACCCCATCTCTAGGTCGAGTTATTCCCGTTCCTTCTCCAGGAACATCAGTAAACCCCTGTTTTCTCACAGCCTGCCCCGACCCATCCCAAATGCGACAGAACTTGAATGTGGGTAGGAGGTGAGGCCCAACCCTGATTGCTACACCATGACAGGTACTGGGGCCAGAGCCAGCCTCCTGGGTATGGGGTTAGGGATGCACACCAGAGAGTCAGTGGAGACAGATGGGGGCATCCCTGGAGAGAGACGGGGGTCTAGGGTCTCAGGAGAGGGTGCAGGGCATTAGAGCTGGGGAGACCGGCCTCCCGTCGGTACCAATCAGTACCACACTCCAGGAAACAGTCTCAGCAGGCCCTCCTCCCACTTGGAACCTAAACTTCTCCCAGGAAGACTTCCTGGGTCGGTCCCAGTGCCACTGAACTTCGGTCCCTCCTCCCACTGGGTAACCCATAAAGATTTCTTGAGCAGACACTTTAGTTCTCAGTATTGGGAAGTCAAAAAGGACAAGAGCCAGCTCTTCCAGTCCTGCTCCGCAGAGGAGGCGACCAGTCACCTAACAAAACAAACAAGTACCTGATGATAGGAACAGGTGCTGGGAGGAAAACAAAGGGATGTGGGGGGAGGCCATGTCCTAGGGAGGGGCCTGTGAACTGAGACCCACAAGTTAACTACTGGGGGTGGGGGAAGCTGTACCTGGTGCCTGAGGCAGGAGCATTCAAAGCCTGTACTACAGAGCCAGCATGGACAACTCAGATGAGAGCCTGTCTCGAAATAAAATGTAATGCCTGAAAGCTGGGCCATCAAGCATACTGTCTGAATTTGAATCCCGGGAAGGAGAGGCCTGACTCTGGCAAGTTATCCCCCTGACCTACCCACACTGTGTGGCACATGTGTACCCAAGTGTGCACGCATACACAAACACACACAATAAACATGCAATAAAAAATTTTAATTAGAAAAGTAAAAAGAAGGTTGAAGATACAACTCTGTGGGGAGCCAGGCGGCCCAACACGCGGGAGGCAGAGGCAGGCGTATCTCAGTGAATTCGAGGCCAGCCTGGTCTACAGAGTGAGTTCCAGGATAGCCAGGGCTACACAGAAAAAACGTGTCTCGAAAAACCACACAAAACAAACAAACACAAACAAACAAAAAACCTCCGTGAGGAGAAGCACGGAAGGAGGGGAGAGATACCAATACCCAATTACCCTGTCACCTCACGAGCCTTTCCCATCAGATTCTGGTCTTTGAAGGCATAGACCACCCTGTCTAGCACCAATGGACCTGAGGCTCCAGCAAAAGCTAAGGGAGCTAGGACCAAGGGACCACTGCCCATTATTGGAGGGCCCCTTATACCAGACAACCTCACATTAAACTTCAAAGGACCAGAAACGTCCCCTAAGAGTCGGAAGCCACCTCGATCTTCGTTAATTGGCCCCAGGAGACCTGGGTTCCCAACCATTTCCTAGTCAAATTCGCACAGCCAGAAGCCCTGTCAAGCGAGAACCAGGATTTCTCCCAGGTTGGGCCCCTCGTCCGCCCCCATGTGGCTGTGGTGAGGTACTGCAAAGCCCTCAGTACAGGTAGATGAACACCCGGGAGACTCGATTTAAAAAACAAATTAAGGCGAAGATAGAGCGGAGGAGTAAACCAGGATTTCCACTCCGGAATGTAGGTTTGATCAGGTGGCTTTTCTGAGTCAGCATAGGCCAGGTTTCTTTCACCGATTCACAACGTATGTGAACCTCGTGTCTAACTACAACCGCAGACAGCACTGCCAAGTGCTTAGCGAGCTTGCAGACGGCTCAGGACCCACGAAGCTGTCAGGGTTTCTTGTCTTTCTCTTGCTTCCTGCTCCCCTGCATGGATATCGGGAGTGGAAGGACAGTGATAGGGGCCTCTCCATTTGGGCACCCTGTGCCAGTTCCGTGAAACACAGAACTGCCTGTCCCTGTCCCAGGGGCTTCTCAGCCTGTGCCCAGGGCCCTCGCCACTTCCTCTGGGTCACCGCCCCGCCTTCCTCAGCAACACAGAGGTGGTTTCATGGCAAGGGACTGGTTTTGGCTCCCTCTTCACTCCCCAACTTCCTAACCGCTGCCACCATCTGCTCATCCCCATACAACCATGACATGCCCCGACATACTCTCCACCAGTCCTTGCTGGTCTGTCCTGCCCAGCCCCTGTGTATCTCCACTCCCAAAACTACTCTGTCAGTTTTTTTGTGGGTTTTTTTTTTGTGTGTATGTGTGTGTGTGTGTGGTTTTTTTTTTCTGTTTGTTTGGTTTTTTTTGAACAGCCTCCTGACCTCGACCTCCTGTTTTGAGCTGTTGCCCTATTGCCCTTTCAGGCCACCAAACACCTACAGCTACTGTATGTGTGGTATTTGTACATTAGGCAAAAATTGTTTATGCAGATGGAGAAACTTGCATGAAGCCAGGAGCTAGCTGCGACCCGTGCTACCCAAACTGAAGCCCAGGTCTCCCCAGTCACCCACATCTTTCATTCCACTCTCAGGAGAAAAGTGCTCGCTCACCAGCCCACCTTTCCACCCCCCTACACCCTGGTCAGCAAAGTCGTATTAAAGAACAACAAGTTGAGAAATCTAAGGAAAATGAAGAAGTCATGTTTATTTTCACAGGGAGATTTGAAGGGAGGAAGTTCCTAGTGCGTTGTTGGAGGAACTTCCAGCTGCACACAGGACAAAGGGAAGACACTGGCTGGTTATCCAACGAGGCTGATTCGTCTCCAGACACCACAGCTGAATGGGGAGGACGAAGACAGGTAAACCAGGTCCCCAGGTGGGATGATGGAGTGTCAACACCCAGGTAGGTCTGGCACAGTAAGGAGAACTGTGGGTCAGTACAGTCAAGCTCCCTGAAGACCTGTGTTCATGAAGGGTCAGCTGTGACTAGAAGGAATTTTCTAGAAGAAAAAAATACAAGAGGAAAAGAACAGATGATATAACACACACACATACACACATACCCGCCCATCGATGGAAAACAAACCCTTCCATGAAGATTCCTACCTCGTCCACGTTCAATCCCCAACCTCCCCCCCGCTTTTACTTCTATAGAAAGCAAATGTTGTGGTCTCACTGAGGTACTCAGTAACCACTTTCCAGGCCAGGCATGGTGGTATGCACCTGTGTCTCCAGCACCTGGGGGGGCTGAGGTGAGAGAATTAGGAGTCTGAAGCCCCCTCCCCCCAAGCTACATAGAAAGACCCTGTCTCAAAAATGTGAAAAAGAACGTCACCAAGAGAAATAGACTTCTATCCTGGGGCCTTAATTCACCATGCCTTTGAACCTTTGCCTCCCAGAAGGCTCGCCTGTCTTCAGATACCACAGACCAGCCTTCTCCTTGGTCCTGTACCTTTGTAGTTCCCTCTCGGGTCAACCCTTTATTCGGCCCTCACTCCCTCACTCATAGACAGTCCAGGCCCCACAAAGAGGGTGCTCTTCTTAATCCCTCTTCAGTATCCACCCCGAGGAAACCGGACTTCTGCTGCAGCTGCTGCTTGTCGAGGTCCCAAGAAATGCCTGGCCCCCAGCCTGCCCAAGAGGAGGCTACTCTACTCCTGGCATTCAGTCTTGTGTGGCCCACTTTTGGGATATTTTGTTTGTTCTCAAACAAATAAAGCTGGCCTGAAGATGAGTGTGCAGAGCTAAACCACTAGTTAGTCATAGAGGTCAGGCAGTGGTGGCGCACACCTCTGATCCCAGCACTCAGGAGACAAAGGTAGATGGATCTCTGTGAGTTCAAGGCCACCCTGGGCTACACAAGATCTGTCCAGTCTAAAAGAGAATCAGAGCCAGGCAGTGGTGGCTCACACCTTTAATCCCAGTACTTGGGAGTCACAGGCCTTTAATCCCAACACTAGGGAGGTGGAGACGGAAAGGGATGTAGCTGGGTGGAGGGAGGAATATAAGGCGGGGGAAGACAGGAGCTCAAGGCATTCAGTCTGAGGACTTGTAGAGTCAGAATACCCTATTCGGACTGAGGATTTCGTAGAGGTAAGAACTAGTGTCTGGCTGCTCTGCTTCTCTGATCTCTCAGCTTTCACCCTTAATATCTGACTCCAGGTTTTTGTTATTAAGATCAATTAGAATTCGTGCTACACGCTCGGACACTTACCTACCAAAACTTCAGCCACTTCAGAAGGCCAGGTTGTGCCCGGGAAGCCTGCAGGACAAGGGGAATGGCTTAGTGGACATCACACGGTTACCTCCACCCTCAGCAGCCTCGGGTACCCTGGTACCCAGCAGCTGGGTACCCAGCTGCATCTCCTCAAGCCCCCATACTCACCGAGGACGATGAAGGTGTGACTGCTCCCTGGAAAAGAGACGATCGAAGGAGGTGACACAGCGTCATGGCAACCCTCGTTAGGCTCTGCCTTGGCCTCGGGTTCCCCAAGGGCTCCCTCACCACCACCGCCCACACACGCACGCACACACACGCCAGCATTTTCAGCTAAGTCCTTCAGGTTGGCTGTGGATACTCAGTCTATGGATTTTTTTTTCCCAGAGCATGTGTTTAATCCAGGGTGATACTGAATAATGGTCCCTAAACACCACACAACACGATGGAGAAGCAGGAGATCTCCCCCTGTCCACGGGGTGGTGGACTTCAACCTTAGTTAGAGACCAAAGAGCCTCACACGTACTAGGCCAGTGTCCTACCGCTGAGCTACGTCCCTAGCCCTTTTTTGATCCTTGTATTTTTAGACAGAATCTCTTCAAGTTGTCCAGGCTAGATGTGAACTCTGCAGTCCAGGCAGTCCTTGAATGTGGAATCCTCCTGCCTCAGTCACCATCCCCACCCCAACCCAGGTCTCTGGGATGTTTGGTCACCAGGCTATGAGTTCTCTAATCGTAGAAGAGGGTTCTTTGGCCAGGGCTTTCACTGTTCTGAGAAATCGAAGGAAGTCCCTGGCCTGGCTTTTCTTTGCGAGTCTAATTAGAGTCTACCATAGTCGCTCTCTGATATTAGAATGGCACCTTGCTTATTTCTTGAATGGTTGGCTGACTGACTGCATTGCTAGGAATCGAGCCCAGGGCCTTTCCTCTGCTCAATGGGCACTCTACTGTGGAGCCACACCCCAAACTCCTAAGACTGCCTTCTGGTTTCTTGTTGTTTATTTTGTATATGTATATGGGCCAGAGTGCACGTGTGGAGGTCAGAGGGCAGCGTGGAAGAGTCTGCTCTCTCCTTTCACCATGTGCGTCCAGGGGATTGATCACAGGTTGTGAGGCTTAGCAGCAAGCCTCTTTACTAGCTGAGCCAGTTCATGGGCCCCTAAGTCAGCCTTGTCTGCAACTATGCAAAACAAGCCTCTCAAGTGTTCCTTCCCCACATTATCATCATCATCATCATTATTATTATTATTATTATTATTATTATTATTATTATTATTATTAT